GATTTTCATGACCTCAAAGTGCAATTGCTTGTCTGATGTTAAAAGATGCATATGTACCTGTGTAACGCACTTTGGGGTCACCATTTGAACCCAAAGTGCGTAACGCACTTAAGGTTTGGACCCCAAAGTACGTAACGCACTTTGGGGACGGACCCAAAAGTGTGTGTGACCCCAAAGTGCGGTGTTACAGTGCACATTTACCCAATCGTCAAATCTGAAAATAATATATTATTTGGATCCAATACGGGAATATATTGGACGGTCACCAGGTACAAATGCAGATTGTCGATTGGCTAGATTTATTAGATGTATAATCATGTAAGATTATAATGTGTATAACTATGGGATAGTAATGTTCTTAAAAACGGCATAGATTGTACTATAAAAAATAGCAGTATAATATATAATATTTGCTAGTAAGTACTTTAACGTAATAATTAATCATCAATATTAACAGTTTAAGTATAAAATTTCATAATAAAAGTTCAATTCATGATACATGCAATTAAAAGGGTAAGTTTGATACTTAAATACATTTTAACTTTTCCAAAAGTAAATTATTATTTACTTTCAAAGGCATGATATACGATTTGTTCCTCTAATTGCATAGGAGATAATAGAGTTTATGAATAAAAAGAATTAATGCGATTTTGTTCGTACAGTATCAATCTGAATATCTTTGAGTCTAAAAATAATCTATTAAGGGGAGTCACTGATGCATATCGTATGTAATTTAATCTAAAAATAATCTATTAAAGGGAGTCACTGATGCATACCATATGTTATTAAATTACAAAATAGAAAGAGGAAGCTTTAAACCGGTTTATCTGGTAGTGATTATCAGGTTTTATAAACTAAGGTATTTATATACGAGTATTATATATTTTGTTCGTTTCAGTGAATAATTTGTGATATTTCTTTATTTCAATAATAATAATAATAATAATAATAATAATAATAATAATAATAATAATAATAATAACAATAATGATAATAATAATAATAATAATAATAATATCTTTATTTAAAGAAGGTTACACATTAAGAACATACAATAACAATCATATATATCTTATTTCCAATGTGGCCGTCTGAAAGAGAAAACAGCAACAGCAACAGGACATGAATAGGTAGAAAAATGAATGTATAATATGTAATTTTTAGAATAATACAACTCATATACTTTCGACAGACACTCAACAATTTGTTTAAACATATACGTATATTGCATCATTCGTTCGTTCGTTCATTTGTTCGTTCATTTATTAATTCATTCATTCATTCACTCACTCATTCATTCATATGAATATCAAGATATGCTTTGTATTTTTGTTTAAAACATTTAAGGTTATTAACATTACGAATATTTAAAGGTATATTGTTCCAAATGTTCATGCCATAATAAGAAAATGTGTCTTTAATATAATTTGTTTTAGGTCTTGTCCATAATACAATATCTTTTCGTGACCTAGATCTTAAGTTATATATTTTGTTGTCGGATAAAGTCATCAGTTCTGTCATATAAGTCGGTGCCATGTTATTTAAAGTTTTAAAAACAAGCACCGCCGTGTGGTATTTACATCTGTCAAGGAACGGTAACCAGTTAAGAGTTTCGAATAGATTTATTGACGGAGATCTTTGTGGTTGCTGTAAAATGATTTTAGCAATTCGTTTTTGTAACTTACAAACATTATTTATGTAGATTGTGTTTCCTTTACCCCATATAATACAACAATATTCCATAATGGGCAATATATATGCATTGTAAAACAATAATTCCATATCAAAGTGCAAAAGATACGATATTTTTTTCAATAAAGCATTTTTTCCGTTAAGTTGTTTACAAACATTGTCAATTTGCAAGTGCCATTTTAAGTTGTTATCTATGCAAATACCCAAAACTTTTTGATCAGTTACGTTTTCGAGAGCTATTTCATTTATCTTAAGATACAGTTTTCTCATAATATTTACTTTTTGTCTTGTTCCTATTACCATACATTTTGATTTATCTGGATTTAAGGCCATATTATTTATTTTGCACCATTTGTCAATGTTATTTAAATGATCTTGAAGTTTTATTTCTACTTTTGATATATTTTCTCCGGACTCATAAAGAGTAGAATCGTCTGGGTATAAATCAATTTGTATATCATTACCAATAAAAGCTATGTCATTTATGTATATAAGAAATAATAAAGGTCCTAATATTGAGCCTTGTGGAACACCGGAAATTATTTTCATTGTCTGAGATTGAAGATTACCTATCTTAACCAGTTGTATTCTGTTAGAAAGATATGACTTAAAAAACTTAACGGCATTTTCAGAAAAATGACAAAGTTTAAGTTTATGCAAAAGTATTTCATGGTCAACCAAATCAAAGGCTTTCTTTAAGTCTAAGAATACAGTCCCGATTAATTTTCCAATGTAAACATCTTTTAACCAAGTATCTATTAAACTAATGAGTGCAGTATTACAATAATGATTTTTACGAAATCCTGATTGCTTATTATGAATTATGTTCGTTTTTTCAAAGAATGAGTGTATTTGTTTGGCAATATGGTGCTCAAATATTTTGGATATAGTTGACAAAATTGATATCGGTCGATAGTTATTTGCTTCATTCTTATCCCCCGATTAAAAAATATGTATAACTCGAGCTCTTTATAAATCATCTGGGAAAATATTAGATTTAATACTATTATTGATAATTGATGCAATTATTGGTGTAATATAATCTCCACAATATTTGATGATGTTTGGTCCAATTCCATCTAATCCTGTAGATTTTTTAATATTCAGTTTTTCAATAATAAGTTTTACTTCAAACGGTGTAATTAATTCAATATTAAATTCATGATATATTAGCTTTCTTTCAATTTTGAAAAAATTGCATTTGAAAACTTTGTTTTATGTATGACATTCGAGATATTGACAAAATACTTGTTTAATTCATTTATAATATTAACATTTCCGTAAATTTCTTTATTACCTGTCACTAGTCTCTCTGGCATTGCAATACAACCTTTTTTTATTTAGATTTGAAACGTCTTTAATTTTTTCCATAAAAATGCCGGGTCTTTGTTATTTTTAATAGCATTGTTAAAGAAATCTCTTTTACTTTTTTTAATCAATGATGATATTTTATTTCTGAGCAATTTGTATTGTTCATGTTTTCCTACTTTATGATAGTTATCGCGTTCATGTATAAGATATGTTATCTCATCAGTAAACCATTCCGGCCGGTGTTCACGTTTGATACGTTTTTCTTTTATTGATGCATGCTTTTTCAAGATAGTATCTAAAATGGAGTTAAATAAGCTAAGGGATTCATTCGGATTAATTATGTGCTCGACTAATTCAAGATCGGATAAAGCAAGGTCTACCTGAAAATCAATTTCATTGAAGTTTTTAAAACATCTATATTTAATCGAATTATGTTCATTAATCAATCGGGTACATGCTTTCGTTGATCTTGAAAAACCTATCGGATAATGATCACTTAATGAGGTATCAGAAACAAACGATTCAATAATATATCTGCTACTGTTTGTATAAACATGATCTATAATTTTTTGGGTACGTTTCGTTATCCTAGTAGGATCTGTGATAAGTTGTTTCAAACCATATTTCGTTATCAAATCACCCCATTTTGTATTGTCATATTTTGTCTTTTTATTCATTGGATAAAAGTTTATATTGACATCTCCTAGAATATGATTTTCTATATTTGATATATCTATTATACTTAGTTGATTTTCATAATCGTCAATCATAATCGTCAATCCAAGATTGGTGTATATTTGGTGGGCGATATATAAAATTTTAAAGAAAAGGTTTGCAATTTGGGTAAATAATTTCCAACCAAACAAATTCTAATTCGTCCGTTTCTATATCGTAACGGCGCCGATATGGCACCTTGTCAGCAATATATATTACAATTCCCCCGCCTTTGTGACAACTTTTATGGTCTTTTCTTTCGTGTGTGAAATTGTTGTTTATATTTAATTCATAGTTTGTTGTGTCATCACCAAGAAATGTCTCAGTAAAGCCGAACATATCTGGCGAATTTAATTTGTTTAATAGATGGTATTTTATTTCGTCTATTTTAGGCATTAAGTGATTAACGTTAAGGTGTGCAATATGTGTTTTATAACAAGAATTACGATAATTGTAGTAATTCTGTTCACACAATTATAGGTCTCGCTTTTTTGTTTTTGTACCATTTAAATTCTGCATGATACATTCGATATGTCTAACATATTTTATTGTAATAAATACAAATCACGAATACAAAATACGTACCTTTAATACTTTCTGCTTTTCAACAAAACAAAAAGAAGAATAATTGAATCAGCAATCTTTTAGTTATGCTAAAACATATGTATTCCCGTATTATTATTATTATTTTCTATATATAGAATTATGTCTTTTAGATTTGGATAAATTAATACAGAATAATGTTGCTTAAGAAAACGTCAGCACTTATACTAGTATTGATTGTGGATATGGTATTTACTGGTAAGTTATTTTACTTCATGATAATTTGTACTGTAAGAATACAAATGTGTGAATTTCTGTTGAAACATGTTCTTTTAATTTCCTAAATGCATCTTTATAATGTTGACTTTTTAAAGTTTTTTATTATTATTCCAAATTTGTGTGGTCAAGTTTAAAGTTATAAATTTTAATAAAAAAATCTGACTTAGCATAGTTGTGGTTCCTTACATTGTAAATGTGGAAAAATATATTACTAAAAATGTAATATGCAAATAACTATATATTTACAGAATGTTCTGTTGGCTGCAAATCATGTTCTGGTTCAACTTGCACAGGTTGTGAATCATCTTACTTTTTAACAAATGGCTTTTGTTCACCATGTCCCGAAAACTGTGAAAGCTGTAATAGCTTCGATGACTGTACTTCATGTAAGCCAAAGACACATGGTGTGTACGCAAGCTGTACTTTCAACTGTGTTGGTGATTGCTTTAACAGTGAATGTCAAGATGATACGGGGTATTGTATTCAATGTAAGGCTGGTTTCTATGGACTACAATGTCAACACAATTGTAGTTTATGTGAAAATGAACGTTGTGATTTACGTATCTGCTCTAGTGGTTGTAGAGATGGGTATTATAAGTATAAACGCGGTGTCGAAACAATGTGTCAAAATTGTCCGACAAATTGTAAACATTGTAAGGATGGTAATACATGTTATATTTGCAATGACGGTTTTCACCTCTATAAGTTTAATGACAACGTTCACTGTGTGCAATTTCCGGACTGTGTTATTCAAGGTTGTAACCAGTGTCAAATACACAATGGTTCGTTAGTCTGTGCTGATTGTCCAGAGGGACAGATATTCAATGGTGAGACATGCGGATCACACACATTATTGTGCTCAAAAGTATGTTCTACGAATTGTGATAGTACTGGAATATGTCAAGGAGAATGTAATGAGGGTTGGACTGGTGACAAATGTTCCAAACAATGTAACAGAAATTGTTTAAAGTGTTCAAAAGATGACGGAAGTAGTTGTCTACTGTGTAAAGGTAATTTCTACTCAACCAATTGCAGTTTAGGCTGCAACCAGGCATGCATAGTAACAAGTGGTAAACATACATGTGAACATGCAGACGGATATTGTTTAAACGGATGTAAACAAGCATTTTGGGGCAATACCTGTGATAAATCTTGTCCTAGTGGATGTAAAGATCTTAAATGTGATAGAAACAACGGTATATGTACAGATGGATGTAAGAATGGGCTTACCGGAGATAAATGTACTCAAGCTATTTCAATCGGCGAACAAGGTGCATATTATTACTGACATGAATTCATTTCAAAATAATTAATTTATGGATTCATATGGATTAAATTTAATTCACCATAACAATAAATGTTTGGTATTTATATTTATTCGCCCACATTTAATTGATTATTCGAAATACTTTATTTACTTTGTTTATACGTGTTAGTATGATATGACTTTAGACGTTGGTAATCATTTTATGCGCACGTAGTAGTTTATATGTTTGGACGTTTTTACTCGTTTAAAGTAACAATAAGATATAATGCGCACATCGTTCCAACTCATTAGCACTGAATAAAATCCATAGTTATCATGGATATGTAGACATTATTTTTCATAATTTCATCGTATTATGATGGCATGTAAGTGATATTGGAGATAATTTATTTGTCATGTTCGCACATAGTAATGTGATTGTACTAGAATATGATAAGAGGACTGTAATGATATCTGGACTGGTATTATATGTTCAATAAAATATTTAGTTTTAGAATTATTGCGAGATGTGCTCCAAAGGAAACGGTAATAATTGTAAATACGGCGACTTTTTCTCTTTCGATTTTAGTTTAGCAAAGGAATTATCTTAAACGACTGTTTGTGCAGATTTTGACGAACAATTGTTACAGTAATCATTAGAGCATAGTTAAGAACATGTTTATTTCACGTTAATGTTATATCTACAGAAACACCAGAAACAACAACAAAGTCAGCCGGAATTGTAACACAACAAACATTTGTGCGATGTGACGATAAAGCTAATGATTTTACCATCGGTTATTTCTCTGGATTCGGATCTTGTGCTGCCATAGTAGTATTTGCTCTATTGTTTTACCTTATAAGACGAAGGTGAATGTATTCACTAATTTAATACTATACAAGATGTGTACATGTGTTCGTAATGTAACATAAATTCTCTTTTCTGGTAAATTTTAATAATTATGATAATAGACATGATTTTATTGTCACTATTTAATTATGATCAAATTGTTATTTTGCACTATCAAGTTGAATATATCGGTTGTTACTTGTTTGCATTTTTAAGTATCACTTAAAATACACTTAATATGAAGTAATGTTTAATGATATTATCAATTCTATTATTCAATACAGGTATCTGGCAAGTAAAACGCCAAAAGATAACAGACGTAACGTTGAGATTCCAACATACTATAACACTAGAACTGATTTCGGCGCTGTAAATACTGAGTCAGCTGAAGTGACTAATAATTACGAGAGTTTGAGTAATAACAGGACCACGGATAATGTATACAATGGTAATTGCAATGTGTTTACTTGATTTACCTAGAATAATGATAATTTTAAGAATTTGATGTCATTATTGTTGTGCATATTATCATTTATTCATTATGATTGATTTGTTAATTAATTAGTTAATTAATTGATTAATTAATTAATGTTATATTACGTTTTGTACTTATTTATTTTTAGATATATTCATTCATTTATTTATTTATCTATTTATTTATTTTTTATGTATTTATTTATTTATTTACTTGTCTATTTATTTAGTAATACTTGTTTATTTTCAGATCTCGGAACAACATTGTCATAGATGTTAGAGAAATTTGAGAGTTGTAGTGGTTAACTAGTGAAAACAACATAATGAATTGTTACTGTATTTGTTGTTCTTGTGGTGATTGATGCATATTATTACTCTCCTTATAGAATGGTAGGGTGACAATCAAGCCATTCAGAAACTTGAACCCGGACCCATTTTTTAACAAGTGGTGTCATATACCAAAATGTTCCAATATATTCGTAGTTTCTAAACATGCCGGCATAATTTTGCATTAATGGTGGCGAACATAGAAATCCAAGATGGCGACCAAGATGTCCGCCAAAAATATTGAAATAACAACTTACCTACTTTTTTATTTTTATCAGTTAAACAGATGCATTTGTTCTTTTCATGCATTTTTGTATCAAATTCATGTCACATATAGAAATTTAGTATCTATTTTTAATGTAAAAATATCTTTTAACAGACACATGATGAAAATTGTGGCGAACAATAATGAAAAATTGCTAACATTTTTAGATGTCCGAACATTTTTCCATGTAATAATGCAATTTACAAATCAATTGATTTATTATGGTTTATATAACAAGAAAACATCCTCTGCATATGAAATGTGCAATTGATTTTTTTTTTATATAATTGTATTTTTGGAAAAAATGTGTATTTTTTAAGTGGGTGGGGTAAAATAATAATCTAATAAAAATCACAAATTTATCGTAAGTTACATTATTTTTATATATTTAAATTGTTATTATTTTAAATTAACTACTTGAAAGACTTTAATCTATAATTTATAACAAACTTCAGTAACTTTTGGATAGAGTATGCAAGATTGTTAATAGTTTTATAAGAAATTAAGCACTATAAGTTGAACACAGCGTTTCAATTCAACCTTATAAGTTTATGCTTAATAATTTACTTGCATTTTTCTTTCGTTTATCCAAGTTTAAACAATCATTTAATTCATTTCTTGTATGTTTCATATGTAAATATGAAAACTTATTCAAACATTTCTTTGGTGAGTTTCTACATACATTTCCCGACCTTTCATGTAACTGAGTGGGTGGGGTACATAACACAGTTTGATATTTCAGGTAAGAGTAAACAACCAAATAATAACTAATCACTTTTTCACAAAAGTTTTTGAATAAAGGCACATTTGATTATAGACAATTTCCTGAAATAGGTAAAAAGGAATGTAAATGTAGTAAAATGAACAAGAGGGTCATTGTAGACTTATTTTGCGCACCATATTGACAACTGTATATAACTTTTGGTGATTTCATTTTAAAAAAAGAAATAAAATGACAGGAAAAGGCGCAATCAAAATCTAAATTTGATAATGATCTAATTTTGCCAAATCGTTAACATCTAAGGTCTTAGTGATATATAGAATACATTGCTTTATTCAAAATTGGATTCACTTAAAGAAACACAAAAAAACACAACAAAAACACTAATTACTGTCGTCTTTAATGCCATCAAACCGTCTTGAAATCTACAATATTAATTAATGATTGTGTGTTTATAAATAAAATTTTACTTTTTAGTTTTAAGATGTTTTGCGTTACGTAATTCACTTCTAATACAGAAAAAACAACTTGCAATTCACATGCATGGATAGTAAAGTTTGACTGCAGAATATATAATTTGAGCAGTTGTGGTATTGGACTTAATATGATGTTTCAAAGAACTATTTTTTAATCATTTAATAAGCATTTAGAAATGAAAGACCCTACAATGTGATAAACTGAGAAAAAAAAACAATGTTGGAAGTGATAAACAAGGTGTTGTCACTAACTAAATCAGGTACAAAGGGTTTTATGCAAAAAATAACCCGTCAACATTAGCCAATTGGTTTCTAAGAAGATCCCGTTTGAAGAAAACGTAAACATATTGAATAATGATAAAAAAAGTTTAATAACCTAAATAAAGAAATAACTGAATTATGAAGGAAAAGGGACATTACACCAAAGCACAGTATACATATATTAAGAGAGAAGAGGGATTAAAAGAGAGTCAAACCTCCAGTTTTATGTCAACAGTCTAAAACCCTGTGACCAATGTATAGGTAGTAATCTGGAAATTGTTGTAATAAAAATGTACTTAGAAATTACATTTGCCATCTGGTTAACTGAATTCTTGGTTTGGACCCAATTGACATCTATGTGTCTAGAGACAGTTTAATTTACTCGTTTCATACATTCATGTATATCTGAAAAGCAGGAATGAGAAAATAGCTCAGGAATTAGGCAATAGTAACGCCTAATATGTGCAATATACGGCCGTTATGAGCAGCACATTAATTAAACAGACATACATATTAACTTTGGTGTAATGTGTGCAAAAAATGGCTGAAACTATTGGAATATAATAAACAGAATCTTATTTGATATATTGTCAACTTTTCATGATAATTTTAAAGCTTCTCGAACGTTTGCAACGTGTCGTGTTCTATCTTACATTAAATTATTGAAAGTATGAGGTTTTTAAAACTTTACACTTGGTATATAAATTCAAAATATAAATGTAGAAGTCTATGTTAAAAAAAAAATCATTATATGAAACATTTTGCTTTGCGATTATTTTTTTGTAAAATTTTCTCTTCTGTAAAAACGATAATGATTCATTTCTATTTTACAAGACAAGGTACTAAAATTTACCGAAATTCAATAATAGAAGGCATTAGTTAGCAATATTTCATTTGTGTTTAATTTAATTTAATTTGACCAAGTTGAAGAAAAGTATTTCTACATTGAAAGTGAATTGCATTGGGTCTCTGAAATGTTAATTTAGGTACATGTAAAATCAATATGAAAAAGCAATATTAAAATTAGTTGTTATAATTAAACTGCGCAAAATCAATTGTTTACAGTAATTATATCGTATTTAAGATTTTAATTGTTATACCCACTATTTTTTATATATGCCCCATATTTTGACCTTGAAAAACTTTTGTTACTAACGGTAAACGTAAACATCTGAAATGTATTTGATGTAATGCCGCAAAATTAATGATATCAGCTTGTTATTTATGTCTTATTTAAATCCTTTAAATTTACAACATTGTTAACACTAAATGCATTATTCCTAATGCACTCACGTGCACATGGTAAATTGGACAACCGCTGTAGGAAACATCATTAGAAATGCTTCAATCTATTTAATTAAGTTGTATGTTTACTGGTAGGATATACAAAAAATACATAGGTGTTCATGTATATGTAAAAAGTCATTTAAAAGAAAGAAAATGAGAAAGTGCAAAAAAGATTATTTAACAAGAGCTGTCGGAGGACAGCGACGCTCGACAATTCGAAAGAGTTGTCACAATATTGTTTCATTGAGTATAACTATTGCTTACCTATATGAATATATAAAATTGTATCAAAAAGGTACAAAAGCTCATTTAGATCTTTTATCGAGTAAATCACTGCTTGATAATTATGAATGCAAAACAATTGTCAAAAAAAAACATGCACAAAGCCTGTTAAAAAGATGTTTTATCGAGGGAAACATATTATTTTACATAAAAATGGTCAAACAAGGGCTTTTTGTAAAATACATAATTATGCCATCCACTCAAAAATTTATCCAAAATTTTGTAAATCGAAAAAGGGGCACTAATATGCAAAAAGCAAATCAGAGTTATGGGACTTGTGCCAATCACGTTCAGTGACGTAAACAAGTGTGTGAAGTTTCAATCCATTCCCTTCAGTGGTTCTGGAGATACCAGCATACACGCTTAAACTAAAGCCAAACCTAAACCAAGAATTTCTGAGTCGAAAAAAGGACATAAATATGCAAAAAGCAAAGCAGAGTAATGGGACTTGTGCCAATCATGTTAGATTAACACAGAGAAGAGGACAAATGTATAAAACTTCAATCCATTCACTTCAATAGTATGGAGATACCAGCTTACACGTCAAAAACTAACTATAGGGACGCCGACGCCAATAAATGGGTCTTAGCTCGATTATTCTGCGAATAGTCGAACTAAAATAGAGGTGTTTTCTTTAATTCAAACAATTTCTCTTCAAACTGATTGCAATTCTTACCTATTCTATTCCACAATTACATCATTTGTTAAAAATTATAGAGCTAATAAAGCTGTTTCATAAACTAGTTAAATATAAAGTTATTTACAATTAATTTGTGATAAAGACATTATTTGATACTCAGAAATACACATTGTTCTAAAAAATTACTATGTATTGAACACACTCTACGGCACTTTTCTTATATAAGAAGATTGTTTCCTGTTATATAAGACATAATAAAACAATTTACAATTTGTATATGTAAACTGCACGAAAAACATGGGAAAATGAACAAGACATCTTTAAATATTATCATATTGTGTACCTTTTTTGTCACATGTTATCTGCTTTTTACCATAAACAAAACTTTTGCAGTAAAAGTAAGTAATACAACTTCATTCCTGACATCAATTTGATACAAGAATGCAATAAAAGAACAAAAGCATCTGTTTTAACTGCTTAAAATTAAGCCAGAACGACTAATCTGTACTTTTCATAATTTTGGCGGCCATCTTGGACGCCATCTTGGATTTCTCTGTTCGCCACCATTTATGCCAATTTATGACGGCAGATTTGGAAACTACAAACATTTAGGAACATTTTGGTATATGACATGTCTTGTTAAAAATGGGTCCGGGTAGCCCCTATATATAGGCTAGTTTTTTTCGTAATTGTCACCCTACCATAATCACTTTATCTATAAACTATAAAACGGCTTATATTCATAATAAGCTATTTGCAGTAGGGAATGAAACTCTATTTTCTTTAAGCAATATTTTAATATAAAACGACCAATGTGTTTTTCAAAATTATTATACCTTGTTATTCTTTATAAACAGTTTTTCTCGAATATTTCAATCCTGTATTTGCAAATGGCTTGGGATCAAATTTTCAACACATACCTTCAAATGTGATAAATCTGATCGATACATTCAGTTAACAACACAAATATAATTGAAATATAAATTTTACTACAGTATGGTAAAAGTAAGTAGCCAGCAAAATGTTCAGTTGTTTCATCTTCAATAAATTAAACTTCATAAATTATTTCAAATATAGAATGTGTTTTTGTAAACGTTACTAGTTAAGTTTAGCTGATCAATACATGATCGTATTATTTCGGTACTTTTGAGACAGATATTAAGCATAGTAAGCGTGAAATTTACTTTGAGTATATAAAAGGAAAACCAATTTATATTTGATTTTTATTTTAATTTCAATATAAAATGTACTCGTATACCGGCTTATTATTGTGTACATATTTTACATTATTTGTTTGTTTTATAGTGTTTGATTATAACACGTATAACATTGCTCTTGAAAACGGTTTAAGTTTAGCAGTGTTTGTTGATAAAAAAAGAAATTGATCGTAAATACTTTTGCAAAATAGTTCCCAATGAATTTTGACTGTTTACCCACAAATGAGAGTGATAAGATTTTGACAAGTCTTTTAAATAAAATGCATCTCTACATATTTTGTATTAAATTACGGAAATTTATAATGCTTACATTCGGCTGAAATACAAATATTATATATCGTCGTATCGATATCTTTGAGAAAATAACAGTTTAAACAGCTATTATAGTTTATTTCAAAACATATCACTTTAATATATTTTAATTAAAGTTTTTGTAATTGGTATTAAGAATATTTAATTGGCTGCCAATCTTGACATGTTTTATTATGATCATCTTGCATTTTATCAAATAGTGTTCGTTCATTGTGTTATATGTCTGGTGAACATTGCTTCAACAAATGTACTTCATGTAAACAGAATAATTTGGTATTCATGCAAGTTAAACTTTTACCTGTGATGATATTTCTTTAAACAGAAACTATATAATAGAAGATCCTGTATATTGTTACCAATCCAAGCCGGATTTCTATATACTTATTACGTAAATGCTTGCAAGGTTGTAGATCTGAGTATTATCTGTATAAAACCGGTTAAAAACGATATATCAAATTCGTTCCTCAAATTGCAATCATTGTTCGGATGTCAACAAAACATGTTAATTATGCAATGATGGTTTTCTGGTTTTCATCGCTATGAACTTAACGTTAATGAAAACGGATTCCCCGAAGAAGAACGCCAAAGAGCCTGTGCATGTACGGAACTGAAAGTGCGAGTTACCGTCCTTGCCCCCCACCCTAAGTATAAAACAAAGTCTCAAATACTCAAGAGAAACTGAAAATATTTGTCTTTGTCTAATTGCAATGGTGACATTATTTTATCAGAATGTATGAAGAAGTACATTTTATGGATATAATAACAGTTATACAAAGGTACATTTTTACGTGTAAAATTGATACAAAAAGTCAACAGATTTAGATAATTATAGGACCTGATAAGCATTAAAGCAGCACGCCTCCAGATTGATGCTAATTACTCTTACAACTCAAGTAAATTACTAAAATGAGAAAAGAAATGTGCAAAAAAGCCCTTATTTCGTTAGTTACGCAGTAGAAATATAGTCGTAATATTGAGAAAAATCAGTTATTAACCACATATAACATTTCAATTATTGCTTGAATCTTTGATATTTTTACATTCCTAAAGTCTAAACAATATTTATTAAAGTTTGATTTTATTGAACTATTTTTGCTTATCTGGAGGCATGTAGCTTTAAGACTTGAAAGCGAATATTGGTTTGCCAGTAAAAAGACAAAGCCACATAGTTAATATCTGTTAAACCCTTATTTGATACAAAGACTTTCCAGAATTTCTGAAAAGAATATATAATATTAATAATCCCACATATCATGAAACATTCTGTTAATTGACTCTTTAGTTCTTGTATGTACCTTCATGTGGTATAAAATATTTGAACTGAAATTATTATCACATCTATGTCAGTTTAACTGATTAGAACCTCTGTATTCTTTTACTGACATGCAATGATTTGCTTAATAAGAATAATATTAATGCCTTTTTTAAATTTCTTCTTTTTCAGATTGTTAATGTCGATTACCTTGTGCTGCTTTATATTTGTTTTCGTCTTAATCGTTGTTATTGCTCAAGCGTATAGTTTTTAAACATGTTTTCGTGTCTATACCTTGTAATGCTTAAAGAAAGACAGTTTATAATGCTGCAAGAACTTGTTGTCAAACCATTTTGCCCTTTCTTAAAATTGTTGTTATGTGAAAATAATGTTTTTTGAACTGATCAAAGAGCGATTAAATATTATTAAAATAGATACAATCTGAATAAAACGATAGACATAAATACAATTTATACTTATATTTAATAACGGCCTATTATGATTTTGATGACTTTAATACTTTTTAACCGTTCCTAAAGTAAATAATTATTTACTTTTATAGGTATGATTTTCGATTTGTTCTAGATAATAGAGTTTTAAAAGCATTTTTTGCCCGTATCAATCCGAACAGTTTGGAGTCTAAAAATAATCTTGTAAAGGAAGTCACTGATGCATACCGTATATATTCAATTCACAACATTGAAAGAGGAAGTTTTGAACCGGTTTATTTGGTAGTGGTTAATCAGGTATTTATAAAAGGTATTTATATAGATTATACCTTTTAAGCGAATGTTTAGTGATAATTAAATTAATTATTTTTTTAATTTTCGCTTTTTAAACAGGAATAACGGATATTGTAGTAATTATCAAATATAATCATAAGTATCGATTCGTTTTGTTTAGGTGAAGTTGTACCTTTAAAACTCTCTATGACAGATTCGATATGTCTAACATATTTTTATTGTAATGAATACAAATCACGAATACAAAAAAAAACAACATACATTTATAACTATTCTGGTTTTTAAGCTAAAAATATAACCATACAAAAAGAATAATAAAGCAGCATCATTTAGTTATGCTAAAACATATGTTTTATCGTAAGTTGATCACATTATTATCTATATATAGAATTCTCAATTGTAGGTTTGCATAAATGAATACGGAATAATGTTGCTTAAGGAAACGTCAGCATTTATACTAGTATTGATTGTGGATATGGTATTTACTGGTAAGTTATTTACCTTCATGATAATTTGTACTGTAAGAATATAATGTGTGATTTTCTGTTATAACATGTTCTTTTAATTTCCTGAATGTATCTATATAATGATGACTTTTTAAAGAATATTTTATTATTGCATTGTGTATTCCTAATTTTTGGTAGTCAAGTTCAGAATTTTAAATTTTTATATAAAAAAATCTGACTTGTGGTTCTTTACATGATATGTTTGGAAATTTATATAACTAAAATATGTAAATAGGCAAAGAAATATATATTTACAGAATGCTCTGTTGGCTGTCAATCATGCTCTGGTTCCACATGCACAGGTTGTGAATCATCTTACTTTTTATTAAATGGCCATTGTTCACAATGTCCTCAAGATTGTGAAAGATGTAACAGCTTCGATGACTGTACGTTATGTAAGCCAAATAAATATGGTTATAGATGTACACTCAACTGTGATGATAACTGTCTAAATAGTGAATGTCAAGATGATACTGGATTTTGTACTCAATGTAAGGCTGGTTTCTATGGAACTAAATGTCAACTCAATTGTAGTTTATGTGAAAACGAACGTTGTGATTTACGTTATTGTTCGAGTGGTTGTAGAGATGGATATTATGAGTATAAAATCGGTGTCGATACACTATGTTTAAACTGTCCGACAAATTGTAAACATTGTATGGATGGGAAAACATGCTATACTTGCAATAATGGTTTTCAGCTATATAAGTTTAATGTAAATGTTCACTGTGTGTCATGTTTCCAAGAATCGTCATGTCCGGTATGTAGTATTCAAGGTTGTAACCAGTGTCAATTACGCAATAGTACGTTAGTCTGCGCTGATTGTCCAGACGGACAAATATTCAATGGTAATACATGCGAACCAGACAAATCACTATGCCAAGAAGGATGTTCTACGTATTGTAATAGTACTGGAATATGTCATGGAGAATGTAATGAGGGATGGACTGGTGTAAAATGTTCCGAAAAATGTAACATCAAATGTTTAAAGTGCTCCAAAGATAACGGAAATATTTGTCTACTGTGTAAAGGTAATTTTTACTCAACCGATTGCAATTTAGCCTGCAACGCTGCATGCTTTGTAATAAATGGTAAACATACATGTGAACAGGCAGACGGATATTGTTTAAACGGATGTAACCAAACATTTTGGGGCGATACGTGCGAAAAACATTGTCCTGGGGGATGTAATTCACATATATGTGATAGAAACAACGGTATGTGTACGAATGGATGTAAGGACGGATTGGCTGGAAATAATTGTACCCAAACTACCACGACCGGTAAAAAAGCTTTTTGTACTGTAATGAATTAATTTCAGATTGTTTAATCAAGTTTTAAATAAAAGAACAAAGATTCTTATTACTTTTTGCCCTAACTGATGGTGGCATTAACTAAACACTATTTGGGAGCCATCACACTATACTTACATTTTTGTTAAGGTAATTAAAATATTTTAGATTTTACAAATGTGTGTCTTTTTATAAAGTTGTTGAAATGCTCTTAAGAGGAAACGAATACATTTACTTGTAAACTTTAAAAGTTTTGCTCATGGCAAATATTTCATTATTGGCAAATATTAGCACTTCCTAATGCTAAATCCCTTATACACGCATAATAATATGTATTTATCTTTTATCTTAAACTTGCATCTGCTTGGCGTGGTCTTCATTGTATGTGTATTTGTTATTGTTATCTGAATTTCTCAATTTGGACAGAGACAACAACTAATCAAACTTTAACTAATGGTACACAGATGGCAGTACAAGACAGCAACGAACTTATCATAGGTGCATCAGCAGGAGGAGGTGTTCTAATCTTGATACTGATCATAGTGGGAGTTTGTTTGTTAAGACGAAGGTATATAATCAAAAATACTTAAAATCTAAGTGTGATCCCTCGGAAGCATTAATCACAACAATATTACACGAAAACTTGCAGACTCGGTTTGATTTAGTCTGTGCCACCTTTATATTTAAAACAGTTGTTTATATTTATTAATTTCTGTGAGTAGAAAACAAGTTTTCATAAATCTACAACATTTTACGGAAAGCTGAAGCAACTATTTTATCTTGTTTCTAAATAAAACAGCAAACACAAAAATTAATAAATAATAACCTACATCATTCATTACACATAATTCTATTTAAAGATTTTACCTATAATAAAAATGTGATCGATGTGTGTGTTCATTATCCTTAGATTGAATATTACGATTTCCCTTTTTATTCAAATGTAATTTAAATCTTGTTTTTCTTGATAAATTTCTATGATATGGTATAAGTTTTCATTCATTCAACAGAAAGAAATCGTCAAGAGAAGAATCCGATCAACATGAGGTAGTTCTTGCAGAAGATCATAGTATGCATAAAGTTTTAATATAAAAACTATATCCAAAGATATTGGCATAATTTATGTATTTTCAAAACATATATTAACAATACAATATCACTTAAAGTCGTTAAAGAGGCGATGATAATGTATCAGTGTGACATATAATCAAAATTTATTTTTTCTCATAATTATCAACCGTTAGATCACATTATAGTTTATGCTGAATGACTGAAGTTATTATCTTTCTTTTACTTATGTTAAACTATTACATCTATTCAGTTCTGCTTTGATTTAAGATGTGTACTCAAAACCAACGAAAAAACCGGCAGCAGTTGAAGAAAGTCAGGATTACATATATGCACAACCTAACAAACCACACAAGCTCAAGAAACCTAGTACGCGGGAAATTAGCAAACCAAAGACAATGTCTGATAACTTTGCCAGGGATTTAGATAATAAAACAACTGTCTCAGATAGTGCCTATGCGACTATCACTATTGATAGAGATTCTGAAAACAAAACAGAAGAAGAAACCGATGTTGATGAAATAGAGTTAGAGGAAATAGATGAAGGAAATTCTAAACTTATCGAAATAGGTTTGTTTTTATTGAATAACCGTATTCGTCTGGATGCTTAAATAACATTTTCTTCACCTAATTGTCAGAAATATCAATTGTAATAAAATAAAGAAAATAAGAATCCCTAAAGAAAGTTCAAATCGGCAAAATTGAAAATGTTGCAGGCTCGGTTTGATTGAACCTGTTCATGGTGCAAACTACCGTCCACGCCCCCTTGCACCGGATAAAGCAGCAGTATTCAACATTTAAACATTTTATGAGCAGGGATAAATATTTTAGAAAGTTTCTTACTATTTTAAAGTATACAATTTATTATGTGAAATTTCTGTTACACATGAATTTATATAGCGTAGCTATATTTATTTTATAACAAGGCCTTTTAAATTACAGAAATAAATCCACCGAGTGCTGATTTATATTACAATACAGCAAGTTTGATCCGAAGCCGAATTCAAATATCTGATCTACTTGAATACATCAGGAAAAAGACTGACTATGAAGATGAGTTTGAGGTTGAGTATTTATTGTTAACATATCACTGTTCCAGTATAGTATATGTGAAACTGAATATCCTTTTTATAGTTTGAATCAACATAATATGAAACTTAAATTAATGCAGGAACAATTTAATGTTGTAATTTGATACTGCTAGAAATGTACACTTGCGTGAATTAATTCTAACTGTCCAATAGATATACTTGTATTTATATTTATATTGATATAGCGACGATAAATTTGATAATAAACTCAGTTAATATACTTATGTGTGCTGTCATATTGTTTTGAAATTCATTTTCAATTTAGAAACTTCCCAAAGGCTTGACAAGGACTTGTGACGAAGCTCTAACGCGGTTTAATCGCAAAAAAAATAGATACAACGGAGTATATGCATGTAAATATTTGTTCTTATTTAATTTTAAGAAATCTTTGTAAGGTTTGGCTGGTTCCTTTTTTCATTTACAAAATTAAATTACGTAATACTGTGTACTTATATTTATAGTGTAATTTTAATTTATTTTGAATTTATACATACTATATCTCAAAGCATTTTAGGATTCATTATTCAAATTTAATTTTTAGCAATACTGCTACTATCTTATACAATCATGTTTTAATGTAAAACGACACAGAGAAGACATGTTACATTCTAAACGCTACACGCTATAATTAAACACTGTATGAATACATAGTGTCATTGAAACAAAAAGAAATCTTACACTTTGTTTTAAGAAAGAACCAGATTATCTTGACCAGTCACAGGGAATACACATTTTAACTACTTTTGTGCATTCTCTTATTCAAATTAATCATAACATATCCAGTAAGAATATCATGATAGCTTTCACCAAATGTCTGCAATATTTGTTTACCCAAAGACAGCGTTAGATATCTTAAGTTAATTCGAGCAATTAGGAAGATCATATATTTTCTGCTGTTTCAGATGATGCAACTCGTGTTGTCTTAAAAAGTAAAACTTACATCAACGCAAATTACATTGATGTATGTATAAACTTGCATGTTTGATGTGTAATGTAGGAATACTTTCATGTCTTTCAACATATAATCATTTTACTGACAACATTTTGCTAGTATTTTGATATTTCGTTGACGTATAAATAATAACTTAATATTAATAGCTGATGAAGTAAAGCATTATTGTGCCTTGAATTAAATAATGTCATCATTTTTGTTAACAAAACTTGTGAACATATTCAAAAGAAATAGCACATGCTTTTGCATTGCCAAGAACTAAACATTTGTTTGAGCAGACACTATTCAAGAATTATACTGATATTTGTATATGGGTATTTTTATGTACATATTCTAATAATATTTCATATTATGATTCATAATTTAGGGACACAAGAAGTCACCAGAGTACATAGCTTCTCTTGGTATGTATACATTCATTATTGTTTATTTTTACGTCGCACCAACGTGGTATAGATCATATGGCGACTTTTAAGTTTGCAATGATGTAACACGTTATAAATATATAATAATAATGGTTTTAAAAAAGATTTTCAGCTCTGGCAAATACTGTCTACAATCATATCAATTACTGCAAATATTTATCTCTTGATAACAAAATGTTTTTATTCTCACAGACATGTTTTCTTTGATTCTATGTTAATGTGTTAAAAGTAGTATTTTACTTTATAATAAATAACACTATTCTCCGTCTACTGAGTCTGCAACTGTCTTTTTTAAAATTTTGTTTCAATTACTCTTGAGGCATCTCTCTTTGTTCAGACTTTTATGATGTAAATAAAATGTCATTAAAAGGCATTGTGAAGTAATTACCTTACATTTTCAGGGTGTCATATTTTCATCAATATCCCTCATGTATTTATTTACTGATTTATGATTTAAGGACCAACCAAGGATGCAATGAATGCTTTCAAAGACTTTTGGGAGATGATATGGGAAGAAAAAACAGATAAAATTATTATGTTGACCAATCTAGATGAGTCTGGGGTTTGTATATTACCACACTTGCCAGGAAAAAAAGTTTTAGTTTTGAATTTTTTCATTTACTTAACTTCATATATAAAAATGTGGAGAAAGATACAGCCTGATTAAAACTTATTATTTTAGCATCGTTAGAAACATTTTCTATACACTTAAATAAAGATATAAAATAGATAAATACAGAATCCCTAAAGAAAGCCAAACACGGCAAAATTGAAAATGTTGCAGGCTCGGTTTGATTGAGCCTGTTCATGGACGGTACTGGAAAGTGCAAGTTACCGTCCACGCCCCTAGCACCGGCTTAAGCAGAATTCAACATTTAACATGAACTGGTAAAATTTAGAATTTTGAAACATCCGCAGATGTGTTCATATGGCGGTTATCATGGAACCTTCAATGTGACACGTTAGTGCCATTCCATGAAAAGCGGCATATGGTCCCCAAGTAAAAAAATGCGTGTGCCCTAAACGAGAAAACAATGGGCGGAACTAAATAAAATGGAATTTTGAAAGGGGATCTGAGGTTATGAAGCCTGCGTATCACAGATAAGACGTCAATAGACAAATTTAAAAAGCAGGCAACATATCCTAAGGGTGATTCAACATTATTCAAGTAGGAATATTGGAACCACCCAACTAGAAAATGCCAAAAAGTTGAAACAAAAAATACCACAAGCACAACAATAATGTCGTGCTGAACGATCTTCAAGGATCGAAAATATAACATCATTGATTAAATGTACGGGGAGACTTTTTACAGCCGCCACACGGCACAAATAACACGGATGTGATCATAAAATAGATAAATACAGAATCCCTAAAGAAAGCCCAACACGGCAAAATTGAAAATGTTGCAGGCTCGGTTTGATTGAGCCTGTTCATGGACGGTACTGGAAAGTGCAAGTTACCGTCCACGCCCCCTAGCACCGGCTTAAGCAGAATTCAACATTTAACATGAACTGGTAAAATTTAGAATTTTGAAACATCCGCAGATGTGTTCATATGGCGGTTATCATGGAACCTTCAATGTGACACGTTAGTGCCATTCCATGAAAAGCGGCATATGGTCCCCAAGTAAAAAAATGCGTGTGCCCTAAACGAGAAAACAATGGGCGGAACTAAATAAAATGGAATTTTGAAAGGGGATCTGAGGTTATGAAGCCTGCGTATCACAGATAAGACGTCAATAGACAAATATAAAAAGCAGGCAACATATCCTAAGGGTGATTCAACATTATTCAAGTAGGAATATTGGAACCACCCAACTAGAAAATGCCAAAAAGTTGAAACAAAAAATACCACAAGCACAACAATAATGTCGTGCTGAACGATCTTCAAGGATCGAAAATATAACATCATTGATTAAATGTACGGGGAGACTTTTTACAGCCGCCACACGGCACAAATAACACGGATGTGATCATAAAATAGATAAATACAGAATCCCTAAAGAAAGCCCAACACGGCAAAATTGAAAATGTTGCAGGCTCGGTTTGATTGAGCCTGTTCATGGACGGTACTGGAAAGTGCAAGTTACCGTCCACGCCCCCTAGCACCGGCTTAAGCAGAATTCAACATTTAACATGAACTGGTAAAATTTAGAATTTTGAAACATCCGCAGATGTGTTCATATGGCGGTTATCATGGAACCTTCAATGTGACACGTTAGTGCCATTCCATGAAAAGCGGCATATGGTCCCCAAGTAAAAAAATGCGTGTGCCCTAAACGAGAAAACAATGGGCGGAACTAAATAAAATGGAATTTTGAAAGGGGATCTGAGGTTATGAAGCCTGCGTATCACAGATAAGACGTCAATAGACAAATTTAAAAAGCAGGCAACATATCCTAAGGGTGATTCAACATTATTCAAGTAGGAATATTGGAACCACCCAACTAGAAAATGCCAAAAAGTTGAAACAAAAAATACCACAAGCACAACAATAATGTCGTGCTGAACGATCTTCAAGGATCGAAAATATAACATCATTGATTAAATGTACGGGGAGACTTTTACAGCCGCCACACGGCACAAATAACACGGATGTGATCATAAAATAGATAAATACAGAATCCCTAAAGAAAAGCCCAACACGGCAAAATTGAAAATGTTGCAGGCTCGGTTTGATTGAGCCTGTTCATGGACGGTACTGGAAAGTGCAAGTTACCGTCCACGCCCCCCTAGCACCGGCTTAAGCAGAATTCAACATTTAACATGAACTGGTAAAATTTAGAATTTTGAAACATCCGCAGATGTGTTCATATGGCGGTTATCATGGAACCTTCAATGTGACACGTTAGTGCCATTCCATGAAAAGCGGCATATGGTTCCCCTAGTAAAAAAATGCGTGTGCCCTAAACGAGAAAACAATGGGCGGAACTAAATAAAATGGAATTTTGAAAGGGGATCTGAGGTTATGAAGCCTGCGTATCACAGATAAGACGTCAATAGACAAATTTAAAAAGCAGGCAACATATCCTAAGGGTGATTCAACATTATTCAAGTAGGAATATTGGAACGGTAGAAAGGAAAGTGACACAATATCACTACACCGCTATTGTTATAGTTATAGTTATATGTATACATCTAATTATGATTGCATTTAAAACAGTTTGCATTATCAAGTATATTATTTTCTACGTATAATAAATTGTATTGTCCACTTTTTATCTTGGGCCACGTATAATTTGATTATATACACAACAATTGAATTATTGTCAGAAACATTAAAAAAATCATGGTTTACTCATTTTATAGAAAATGAAATGTGAGCAGTACTGGCCAGATCAAGGGAAAACTAAGAATTACCATGGATACAAAGTGGTGTGCATTGCTGAGAAAATATTTTCAGAATTTACTATAAGGGAGTTTTCTGTGCAGGTATGTTATATTGTATCAAAACATAAATATACGTTGTTATGACCTTTGATTTGATTTTTAAGACATAAATAATCTATTTGTTTGATCTTTCTAATATGATGACCAAACCTTTTCTGAATCCCTAGATTGTATTAGTTTTTCTTTAAATTTGTGAAAAACACACCTCAAAATATAATGCACCATTTATAAAAATGTTTTTGTTTTTTTTTTAATTTCAAAGGGTTCTGGATCGAGGAAAGTGACACAATATCACTACACCGCTTGGCCTGACCGATCCGTTCCAGATAATGTTGCCTCTCTGGTAGAATTTAGGAACAAAGTTGGACAAACAAAGTCAGACGATGCTGGCCCTATAGTGGTACACTGCAGGTATTGGTTTTGCCAGTACAATTAAAATGTATAAAAAACCTTACAAAACTCAAAAAAATATTTAGTCAATTATCAGCCTGTTGAAAAACATTTGTTATTACAAATAATTAACTCTTAAAAGATATCTGAAACGGAAATGAATAAGGAACGCTTTATAGCCATAAGTTCTAAACGTTTAATTTGTATTTGAATATTGATAATGATTTCTTATATAATTTTGGATGTATGTATCATATAACAGTGCAGGAATCGGAAGAACTGGAACCTATATCGCATTGGATACACTTATACAGGAAGGCAAGAATGATAATTATGTTGACATTTTTGGTCGTGTGATGGCGCTACGTGGACAAAGAGGCCACATGGTGCAAAACTTGGTATGTTATTATATATGGATGATACAGTAAAAACTCTGAAAACCGGACCCTCTCCGGACTTGACCAAAAGTCCGGTTTTCAGAGGATTCCGGTTTTCAGAGGTTTTATGCATTAATTGATAATTATGATGTGTTTGAACAATGACTTTGTTAAAACATTTTGTATTTACTTTTTAACTTTTTTGTCTAAGTCATATTTTAATTTCTTTTAGCAATAAATGTCTTAAGTTATTTTATTATGCAAATCCATGAATAAAATTCAGAAAATCAGAAATTAAAACAACACATTGTCTGAAATATATTTTTTAATTGGCTTTTGAAATATGTAATTAATGGAATTTAGTATTACTACTTTTGCATATAATAAATATCCAAACAAAGATCAATTTTTTTAGCAAAACAGGAATCATTTTAAAAAAGTTTCTTATTCTTTTAGACATTTTATATTTATCATACCTATACAGGGAAAGGCACAATTATAATAAAAGAGCTATGATTTAATTGCCAATAAGAAATTTACACACACTAACAACTGTTTTCACACCTGCATAGATAAAAAGGGTGATCATTAACTGGTAATTGAAAAAATAAGAAATTAACACACACTAACAAGTGTTTTCACACCTGCATAGATAAAAAGGGTGATCATTAACTTGTAATTGAACATGTCACCTGTTGAGATTATGTTTTAATATACTTTAAAATACACAGAAAGTTGACACTTGAAATTGCTGTCCGGTTTTCAGAGGATTTTTTATGCATGTTTAGCATTAGAAGCCACAGAAAAGCGTCCGGTTTTCAGAATTCAGAGGTTCCGGTATTCAGAGGATTTTTTTCAATGAACATATAAGGAGAAAATATGGGACTTTTGAAATGGTCCGGTTTTCAGAGGATTCCGGTTTTCAGAGGGTCCGGTTTTCAGAGTTTTTACTGTATTTGTTTTTAACACATGTTTGTCATAAATGTACTTTAATTGTGATTTTCTTACAATCTATTATGATGGATATTATAGTAGGATATATATTTGAAGTTGTATTTTTATTATTTGACATAATAATTGTTATTCAGAACCATGTATTGTTCTTTCTTTTATTTAGGAACAGTATATATTTCTTCACCGATGTCTTCTGTATGCCCTCACGTGCGATCCCGATCCACTTCCGGTCACACATATTCCTCGTTTGATGACAGATGATAAAATATCACATCAATTTCAGGTACATGTGTATATATTTAAACAAATTGTGTTATTATAATAGCTTGTTTGTTTTATAATATCTTCCATTTTAGATTAATTAAAATCAGCATAATGACTGTAAACACACACTCAACTGTCCATGAAATATTGTGACGGAAACTTTCGCTGTTTTATTGATTCCAATTATTTCATGTTTCTCTCCTCTGTGATATTTTTAAGCAAATCGTTTTCATATTGGAGACTTGATACTGCTTATTCTGAAGAAAGTGCTTGATAGTAATCACTCTACTCCTACACTTCCTTTAAACCAATTTATTTATCAATGCAACCAGAAGCGCTCCCATTTGAGATTGAAAATTTACTGTTGCATAATAAAAAATATACAAACAGTTGATCAATTATCTCCTTATGTATAATATGAACATACGAATATTGTGTAAAATCGAATAATAATCATTAAGAAGATCATTATTATCAGTCTTATTGAAATTTGCCTAAGATTTAAACAGTTCAAAGTGGCTAAAGCTGGCAAAGGAAAAAATAATAAAAGAAATAAAAAAGGTCATGGTCATTTGTAAGATATATTTTAAGTTACCTAATGAACATGAATTATCTAAGTAACAGGTGTGGTTGACTTTCTGAACATTTCAGACATTTACTGATGTTGTTATGCCGACAGACTTCGATGGGAAATCATCTAGGAACAAGAAAATAAGGAAGGAAAATAGACACGGAGCTGACATTCCTGGTATGCAAATTTCCAAATAAGTCAGTGCCACAAGGGGATGGGGGTAATATATAAAATACATTTTCATTCCATTCAATAGAAGTAGAATTTTGACTTAATGATCCTTTGGCATACAGAAATGTTTAAATTAATTTACTAACTATGAAATAATTATTACAGTTAGCATATGTTTAGAGCTGTTTAAAAAAATAGTAGAAAACCAACCCGTAATTCATAATTGTGTACAAAACGTTGTTAAAATTTAAAAGTTTCACATTCTTTGTATTTCAACAATTTCATATTAACTATAGCCATTGTAAAGGTAAACTCCCTTTTTCATTCACACTCATTATACCACACTGCGTTAACAAAAGTAGATTTCAATAGAAAATAACCGTCTGTAAATATACTCTACTTGTATGAAAATCTCATTTGAATAGCAAACCTTGACTATTCAGTGGGTGGTTAAGTTTGAATTCATGGTTAATCCCCTGTTGTGCATTGGGAAGTGATTTAAAGCCGAAAATAGATATTTACAACATTAAACCATAAAGCAAATTTACATTCAACATTTTAAGGCTTTAATAAATAACATCCTATTTTTATGTGTAGGCGATGATTACAGAGTGAGACTGTCATCAACAAAGCATGACTATATAAATGCTGTTTATGTAAATGTAAGTATATCAATGAAAGGAATTTTGATTTCGTTTAAAGTTTCGTTTGTCTCCCTTTTCAATATTTTTGTTCATGAACCTTGCTTGCGTTGCCTCCCTTTTTTTCATTGAATATATTAATAGCCTCTTTTGTTGAATTGATCCATCATGCTTTTAAACTGGTAAATTATAATTGACATTCTAATAATAGTATTTTATTATATCAGCACAATTTGGATATATGTAAGCTATTTAAAATTACAAATATTTTTACAAAGATCTAACATTATTGTTGTCATTGTATATAAGATTTCTTTTCATTTCATCCCAGAAAATTTTTATAAATTTGGTCATTTTCCCCCCGTTAAAAAATCGTTCGTAATTTTTTATTTTTTAATAATCTATGGGGAAAAAAAGAAATGTTGTGAAATTGTTCATACTTTGTACATAAAAATAAATTTAATGATTGAAATATACTATAATACCCTTAATTAAATTTTTACATTAAATTATTTTACTTAGTTTTTAAATTTTCGGGGTACAAAAACCCAACAAATTTATTTTTAAAACACAACGCAATGCCGAATACAGTTGAAATTTTTAAAATCGATGTTTTATAAAAGAAAATGTGTTTTGTGTCATTATTTTTAAGACGACGAAAACCTGAAAGATAAAGTAAGAATACATTTATAGAATAATCTTGTTGTTTAAAATTATTATAGATAACATTTTAAATTTAATAGTATTGATTTGCAAATTTAATCCATACCTAACATATTTCTTTTTAGTGTCGTTCTTACAATTAAATTTAGTGCAATACAAATGTTTTGCTATGAAAAAATGTTTTGGGGATGGGTGGATAAAACAAAAAATAACCTTTATAAAGCTTAAAGATTATGAGAGGTCTTTGAAATTCTAAATCTTTCTATTTATATGTTTACTTCATGTACTTACCGAATCATAATTAAGACTGATTTTGAATTTTTGCCATAAACTGCGATCAAATGTTATAATTATTGATTTCAACAGAGATTGCCTTGAAAAATATGATAGTTCAAATTTTTTTTTGTCACTTTTGAATATTACTCATTTCAGTCCCCGTTGGGACATTATCTACCCCCCAAGATGGAAAGGCGTTGAAAGTTTGGTCATTTCCAAAGTAATCTTGTAAGACGGTTGACACAACGGATTATGGTACAATACGGGGGACATGACAATATCGCGCACGGGATTGGTAGATGTTCTATGTTTTTAGCTAAGAATAATTATGCCAAATCTCTTTTTGGTGACCGGTTATATACCTATAATTTTAATTCTTCTACCTTTTCCGGATTTATTTTTTTCAATATCCTCTTTGTTCATAAAATCATACATTATCCAGCACGAAACTATGAACATTTTAATAAAGCAAAATATGTGCAGAATTTTGGGAGTTTTCCTTTGTAAATTTGTTCAGGAATCCTTTACTGTATCATCATCATTTATTTCAATCAAGAAGCATAATTATGGGTAAAGATAACCGAAACATTGCCTTTTAATAGTCTTTTTTTAATCCTTCAACAATAAAAACAAAAAACATTTAATGTTATCTATACATCAAAATTTTTAAAATAGAAAAAATTATAACCTTAAGGGCAAAACTTTTTTTCCCAGAAAAGCCCCTTTCTGAGAGAGCGCTTTTGGGAAACATTACCAGTAAAAAACGGATGGAAATCATCGAAAAGGTCCCATCTAGGGTTTTGGGGCCTTTTTTTACGGGCGGGGAAAGGCCAAGGAGGGGGTTGAGAATGAAGGGGTTAAAAAAAGGCCCCCAAAGGGGGAGATGGGGCCCCAAATCGTAGTTTTTCCCTTGTAAGTATTGTTTATTTGCGAACTTCTTTTTTTTCCAAAATTTTATTTTCATTTATTTGTTTTTTTCCGCTAAAAAAGAGGAGTTTTAATTACTTATATGCCCGTGTATTTGATTGGGGAAAGCTACATTTATATTTGTGTTTAAATCGGCTTAAAATTTTTTAAATGAAAGTTTTTGCATATGAAAATGTAAACTTTAAAATTTAAATATAAATACCTTTTGAATTTTAAAAAATTTTTTATTATTAGGACGGGGACCCTGAACCGAAGTTTTTTTAAATTTTGTGCTGTTTCTGTTTATATAAAGAAAATGTTTTTTTTGAGAAAAAGGAAATTGGGTTCCTGAAATCCCATTTTTTCAACTGAAAATCAAGGGGGAATCAGCTTTTACCTCCAATTGGGTAATAAAAAATAATTTTACCCCCCCTAAAAAGGGCATGTAAATTTAACCCAAAAAATTTAAAGAAAACTTAATTTTAAAATTTTAAAAGTTTCAAAAAACTATTCTCTATTTGCTTTTTAAATTTTAAGTTTTTTTTTAAAAAGGGAGCATTAATCAAATTTTATCTTGCACTTCAAAAAATTGAAATTAAATAAGTAAATATGTCCCCTTACGAAAAAACCCAACTTTTTCCTTTAAAATTTTGAACCTTCTAAATATTCAAAAATTAATTAAAATCATAAAACCCCCGAAAACAGTATTTATTTTTACCATTTTTTATTTTATCGAAAATTTTACATTTTAAAAAATTTTCCCCTAATTTTTAAACCCAATTTGAAAAACCCTTCCTAATTTTTCCCAAAAGAGAGACAAAATTTTAAATTACATAAAAAAAAAACAAAAAATCCCGGTATTGAAATTGTTTAAAAGGGAAAATGTTTTAATTTACTTTTTTTTTATTTTTTAAATTTAATAAAATTTCCCTTTATTTAAAGGGCAAAATTTCAGGTTGTGTTCCCAAACAGTAAAAAAATTTTGCGAATTTCCGACAAAAAAAAACTATAATATAAAACGAAGTGTTGGGAAAAAAGGGTTAAAGGGAAATTTCCCTTTTTTACGATCAATTAAAATTACTTGCCATTGTCCATTTATACACAAATTTGACGACTTGTTTTAAAGGCTGAAAAATGCCTAATCAGCTTTATTTTTCGAAAGCTTTTTTTTGTGTGTGTCCTGTTGCAATCTCTGAAAAGAGCATATTAAATGCATTGGCCATGCATAAAGTTGAGCCATAATGTTTTAGTGTTGTTTTGGCAAAAAATCAGTTTAGTTTTTGGTATTTTTATAATGAAAATCAAAATGCAATTTTAAATTTACATTTTCCTAACGCTACATTTTTAAAAAAGTATTTCAGCATCTTCGAGCACCCGTTTTTGCTTCATTTTCTTCAGTTTGAAATATGCATCTTAACATGCTTCTTCATTCAATTTTTTACAACATAACAATGCCTTTTTTTCTTCTGAAAAGAATACTCATTGTTTTTAAAATACATGTAAAGACACCGTTTATAAATATGAAGGACATTTTCATTATACAGTACTTTGAAGTTTTGAAATATTGTTATAACGGTTTTCTAACTGCTTTTTTGTTTAATTATCAAAAGTCGCTTGTATTTGTAATTTTCGATGCATTTAGCGAACAGTATACATTTGTATGCTTAATATAAACATTTTGATTTTATTTTACTATGTTCCGGTCATTTTATTTTATTAAATGAAAAGCATGAATACTAATTTGCTCATTGAATATTTAAAAGTATATAATTTAAATGATATAATATAAGACTGTCACATTTCATGCAAGTAAATATTCAAGTTCGGGATTGTTTTATTTTTTCTCAACATGATATTATCAATATTATGACAAAAGAGATTACATATACCATTATGAATCCAGAATCCAGTTGTGGTATAAGAAACTGGTAGAAAAAATAACTACTATTTAGCTTTTATATCTGCCATGTGCAATAAACATAAATATATGAATAATTTAAATAAATTATATTATGATTGTGATAAAAGAATGTTTCAGTTTTTATGAAACAATCAACATATCAATCAATATATAAAAGAAATAACTGCCTTTAACGTATATGATATGAGTGAAAATTTTATTTCTGTGTCCAAGTCTTTGTTTTTGGCTTATATAAATTAAGTAATTATTTTACCAACTTTGCTTCTTCCCTAAAAGTAAGTTTTTTTATCCCAAAAAAGGGTTTTTGAGTTATAATGTCTTTTAATAACTAAGGTTTATATTTCATTTCATCTCAAAGCGGATTCAATAAACCAAATTTCTGAATTGTCAAATTATTTTGTCTTTTTTGCCATAGGCTCTCGAGTATCCTTACCCATTTTAAAACCACAGTATAGCCATATATATAATAACATAAAGGAATAAAGTACAACTCTTCCCATAAAGAAAATGTATTCTTAACAAGAAAGTTCATGTTTGGAACAAGATATGTTTATGATAAAGCTACAGGTATGCTTTTATTTTATAAATTATTGCATAATCAAAAAATATAGTAAATATTTAATCTTATTTAAAGAAATTTATAACACTTTGACTTTTTAAACTAGATTCGAAAAGATACATGTTATTTTGAACAAGTTATTAAGTTTGCTATTAACTATATTCAGCCTGTCGAAAATACAGTTTATAATCCAACCCATCGGTTTATTATCTGTCCAAGAGATTTGCTATAAAATAAAGTATCTCCAACGTACATATTTATTATGTTTTAAATATAAGTGGTTTTTGAAATAATAGTCTTTTCAACATAGATCTTCAACATCTTCCTATTGGTTAGCATCGATATCCTCTCCATTACTGGTTAATTAACGATAGATCTTTTCGACATGTGTCTTGAAAGTACAGACATTTTAATTCAGATGAAGACTGTACCTAGCTCTTTAATCACTATTGTCACTTTTGTCAATTAAGCTTCTTCTGCATGAGTTCTTCGCAGATATAGTTCTATAGATGATCTCGAAATATATGGTTTATTAAATTCAACACATACATTGACATTTGAAAAACAAAATGTTTTTTTTTCACATTCCGCCATTGGTGTTAAATAATTAAGATATCCTATTGCAAAATTTGTATACGTCTTGCATTTATTTTTACAATTTATTGTTACACTGCTGTATGCTATAATTGTTAGCTT